TTACAATTTTTTTTATTTGTCTTTTTTGATTTTTTTTTAAATAAGTTAAACTTTTTATATAAAAAAGGCCCGTACATAGACTTTGTGGTGCCCAGGGTCAATTTTTGTTCGGTGCTTCAAACTTTGCATTCCTGGTATATTGAATTAAGCATGAATTTAACTGTTTATCGTCCGTAAGTCTACTATCACAATACCATTTAATGAAAACAATAATTATTTTTGTATTAACTATTGCTGCACGTAAACACTTTATATATTTATATATATACTTTATATGTATTTGAACTTGGTTATATATAACAAAACGAAAACACAAATACAATTTAAAATGAATGGAAATATTTTTTCATTATGAAGACTATTCACACTAATTTCATTTTGTGGGCATTCTTCTTTGTGAAAACCACACTTTAATTTTGTGGGCACTGTTCTTTGCGAAACTTCCAAAGCAAACTTCTTTGCGAAACATTCCAAACCATTTTTATTGAAATGATTGTTCTCAATATTTATGAGTCTAATGTTTTTAATGTTTTTTACTTTATGTGTATGTGGACAAATGACATACCTTTACCCGTTTTCAATGATCTCTTTTGTTTGAAACCAATAAATATATATACACTTAGAAACAATAATTTTATATATGAGTCCTTTTGTCGAACCAAGTTTAATGTATTGCATATTGTGCACCCTATTTTTGTAATAAAATTGTTTCGTCTAATTTCGACATGAATTTTACTTTTCCTATTTTCAAATATAAACTAAAAAATTTAATTATCTTAATGGATGATGTAGTCAGGTTTTTTTAATTGCATTTTTACATTTTCTTTAGAACTTTTATTGTTAGTTACGTTTTATTTTTTTGATTATGTTTTGATGTAGTTTATATACACACGCTTGTAAAAGGTTCTGATGATAAGATCAGTACAATCTTCTTTCAGAAACCTTGTTTGTGTTTGTAAAAGTAATTTATTTACTACGAAAACAAAAAAAAAAAAAAAAAGTAGAAATGATATTTTCGTACGATTCTTGGTAAGGTTGTTTTCAATTGAAATCATCATAAGATTATTTCAATTGAATAAGATTATTGTTGATCACAAATAAGAGCTTACTGAAAGCTTTCCTTCAACCACTGAAACCGGAATTGTATTAAAAATGCGGAATTGTATTAAATATTGCCTGAAGACCTTTCTGGTAGATTCTGTTGAGCTATTTGATAGAAGAAAAAGATTCTATTTGTCCAAATGTATTTTATCTCTTCAGAACATATAGATGACGGATTTCTTTTTTCAGATCATCTTCTTTAACATCATTTACGTAAAGATTTGCCTGGATTTTGTATTTTTCTTTCAAAAAAATTTTTTTTTAACACTAGAAGGAGATGGAGAACACCATATGAATAAAAATATATCCGTCGTCTTTTGAGCTGTATTCATTTTGTAATTTATCTGCTGGAGCAGCGTGTCAAGAACAACATTAAATACATTCACCTCAAAACCTTTTGATTTATTTTCTTGGAAGTGGGCTGTATTCATCGACTCGCCGCGAATTGATTTCCTTTTCCTTGTCCTTTTCTTAATAAGATCATTTAGAAACCCAAACAAAGCTAACTTAGATGCAACCAGTTTCAATTCTTGAATTTGGAGCCAAGAAGAATGTAGTCGGTTATGATCATCGATTAGAGTCTTTAAAAGCTTTGTCTAGTTATCCAAAGAAATGCTTTCTGATTGACAAAGGAGACAGACATCGTTGACACATAGGAGAGCCTTGAACCAGAAAGAAGTTAAGACAATTAATTCAAATGATTCTTAATTAAAGTCAGTTGATGATCTTCTAAATTGAGTTTTTTTAAAAAGCTTCAAGGACTTCATAAACTTCTTTTGTTTGTTTTGACAATGTCCAGACAGCCTCTATGCGCGCACTCCATCTTGTTTGGCACGTTTGGTGAAGAGACTGCCCAATTGTCTCGGTCAAAATTTTCCAGTGCATGGGGCTACTACTAAAAAAGTTTTACAACAATTGGATATTTCCAAATTAGTTTTTGACTACAGTAGAGGATTCTGCAGATTGAACGCCAGCTATATTAAGATTATGCACACTGCAAAGCATGAACAAAACTTAGGGATTTTTCTTAAGAATGATGGCCTGCAATTCTTTGAATATACCAGACATATTAGTCCCGTTATCAAAGCTTTAGCCCCTACAGTTCTTTAAATCAATTTAGCTTTAATTTAAAACGTCTATAATCAACTTCGCAATGTCAGACCCCTTTTTTTCTCAAAATTTTCTACTTTCAGAAAACGCTCTTTTACTATCCATTGGTTGTCAGATCCTAGGAGGACAAATCAAAGAACGAAAGTAATTTTTTCCGTATGAGGCACATCCGGAGATCCATCAACAATAATGGAAAATTAAATGGCTGTGTAGGCCTCTTTAATAATACCAGCGAAAACAGTTTCACCACATGCCCTAATGAACTCTTATTAAGTTCTCCAGCTCAAATAGTGCGCTTGCATTCTTGTTCATTGTTTTTGGTGTCAAGAAACTTCTTCTAGATGGAACTGGAGTATGTTATTACCCCAACAGCTCAAGGGTGGCTAAAAAATTATCATTATCATACTCGTCCAACATGTTTGATCAACCTACACAAATATGAACATAATATTGAAATGAGGATTACATCAAGATTAATATACCAAGCAACATTAAAATTATTTTATAAACATAAATTGCTAACAAACCAGAAAAAAAAAATTTCATACCACTTAGATGCCTAATTTCTTATTGACTTTTCAAGTTCTGAATCGATCAAGGCTTCAAAGGCTGATTTCCAGACAATGTAGTGATTTCTGTGTTGAACATTACACTGGTGGATTTTAATCTTTTTTCCTTGCTTTTCCCAATTATCTTTTATTCCGCCATTCCTCATAAAGAGAAAAAACTGAAATCCAGGGCCAAAATTATGCTTTTGTCCAAAAATAGAGCAGGGAAAACAAACAAAAGCTTTGCAGTTCCACTCCAGATAAGTCAGTCTTTGTTAATCTTCTCTCCTTTGAGAGAAGTTTCGTAAAAAAACAGAAGGCAGGAACTTTTTTGTTTGTAGAATCTCTAGAAAAAAGTTCCGGATTTTAAAGTGGTTTATTTAGTATGAATAGATCGTATTCGACTTTGGACAAAACCCTCCTCTACAAAATAGAGTCGTTTCTAATTGCTTAATCACCCAGTTGAATTGCCTCTTGATCCTAAATTAAAAAAAGCATTTGAGAATTGTGGTATGTTTTTAATTTCTGCAGATATTAAATATATTTTTAGAATCTGCAGATGTTAAATGATATGTTTTTAAAATCTGCAGGTTTTTCATAAAATAAGAGTGCGTCCCAAAATCACCCGATTATCATCTTCTTCTTCAGAGGCCGTTGAAAAATGGTCTCTGAAGAAGATGATGATAATCGGATAAGGGGAAGATGGCTTTCTTGAACTCAAGGGTTCATCAACGCTATTGGTAGTATTGTTCGTCTAAAAAAGAATTATTTTTACAGTTTTGGAATGATATTATAATTATAAGATTGTGAATAAAAAAACTGTTACAACAACCTTTACCTTGACTACTTAGTCGGACGTAGAGTTTTTTGTTTTTTTTTGTACTTTATTAAAGCCACACTCTTCCAGTGTTACACATACGTTTGTTCTTGTATTCTTTTACAACCTTTTCTACAGTATTTTTTTTTGCCTTAGGACCCTGAAATATGCTTTCGAAAACTGGACATGACGTTTTTACTCTAAGATGTGTTTTACTTATTTTCAAAAAAAAAATAAAAGTTTTTTATTTGTTTTGAAATCAAAATGAATTTTTTATATAGAATTCAATTCTTAAAGGAATTAAAGAGAAAAAAAAATTAAATGCAATACCAAATTAATTGGAACGAATGTATTTAGAAAGAATATTTGAAAAGTGTTGGAATGAAAGTATCTTAACTGATTTATGTAACATAACATAGATAATGTTTTAAAACAAGCCTTTGGTTCGAATCAATGAAACTACATTTAAATTGGAGCCATTGCAAGTTTGCAAGTCAGTTCACGCAGAAAAAATAGTGAATGTGAAGTTTAACTTAACCTAAATTTCAAATTTATTTCATGTTATAAAATTCTAAAAATCTTACAAAATATCTTGCAGAAAATAAAAATCTTCCATTTTGTCTTAAATTTTTTAAAATTATGCAAATTATCTTTTTTTTTTTGCCGTTTGATAAATTTACGATAAATACATATTACATATATAAATTTAGGCCGGAGTAAGAAGAAGACAGTCAATGAACAGTGTTTAAATGTCTGTGTTTATATAAAAGCAATCTTATACATAATCCGTTTTAAAATGTAAATTTTGCAAAATGCTTAAAATGTCTTTAAAAGATCGCGATATTATAGTATATTTCTACTGATTTCAAATAAAAGTAATATAAATATACATATATATTTTCTATATTAATGTTTAATAAGATATATTCATTTACTGATAATAACAATGTCTTGTTTTTTTTATTTTGAATTAAATTTAGAATAATAAATATTTGAAGTCTGTTGAAATAAATTCTAATTGCAATAAGAGTCTATTAGATTCTGTTTTAAATTTCACCAAGGAGTAGTGCTCTTTATGATTATTAAAATTTTTTTTATGTATTTTAGGTTATCGTCAGCATCTCCGTTGCAAAAATCTTCTAACAAAGTGGAACTAAACTAAGAACTTTTTAATAATTAGCTTGCTAATAAAAACTCTATTCAAGTGTTAGATCAAAACGGGGGAAAAAAGGAAGAGTTTGTATAATATGTGAGAACATGTATCAGAATTATATATTTTTTTAATTATAAACTATAAAAGTATATTATAAAACTATTTTTAACTTTTTAAAAATGAGTGTTAAAAATTTCATATTTAAAAATAATACAAACGGTTTTATTAAATAACCAAAGCGAGTAAAAAAGAAAACATACTTGTCATTAAATTATTTGAAATAAACCTAAAAATTAGTTTTTAATAAAGTATAACGTATAATAATTACAATTTTTATTTGTGCTCTATGGTTTCTGTTGATTCACTTTTTCTAATACTGTCCTCCTTTCTTGATGAGTACCATTTGTGGAGCACTAATAACGATGTTCCTGCCATAATTGCTAAAGATCCTCCGATTGTCCATTTAGTCGGCTTTACACATAAAAAGACAAATTGCATCACAAATGCGTAAACTATATCAACATTACGTATAACATTTACAATAGTTGCGTTCTCCAACCTAAGAGCCAAAGTCAAAAACAATAAAGCGAGTAAGCTCATAAAACCAATTAAAAAAAGATAAAAGTTTGTAACTACTGAGTCGGCAAGTATGAAACCCTCTTGCTTTAGCAACATTATTAGAGGGCTTACAATAATTCCAAAAATACTTGGGTAAGCAATTGCCAAGAGCGGACTTTCATTTCTGGTAATATACCTAGTAAGTACAAAGTATAGTGCTAAGCACATTCCAGAAATAAATGCATAAGCAATTCCTTGAAAGTAAATTACTTCTTTTGTGCTTCGAGATAGATGTTTACCTTGGAAGAGAACAGTTTTTGATTTCATTTCCTGTCCGAACAAAAACGTTGGATGTGCAACAAGCAATACGCCTCCAAAACTGAGTAAACCACAGATGGCATGAAACCAATGCAAGCCTTCTTTGAGAATCAGGTGGCTGAGTAAACAACAGAATAAAGGACTTGTGAAAGTAATTGCTAGAGTGTCGGCAATAGGAATTTTATCAAGAGCAGAGTACATAAACACAATATTCGCGTAACCTGCAAACCCCATTAGACTAAATATTGGTATTTCGTTTATCTTTATTGCATAATTTACTTTCAATACAATTATAGTTGGTATTACAAAAAGAGTCTGGACTGCACATCTTGCAAAAACAAATTGTAATGTAGGTATTCTTGCACGAGTAAAAGAATTCAAAGTCATTTGTACCATAAAGTTACTAATAGTAAAAGAAAGACCGGATAACGCTGCCAAAAGCATTCCAATCAAACGGAAGTTTTTTACCCATTGTAGAAACAAAATCTTTTTATCTTGCATAGTATTCACAAAATTATGCATAATTAATGTACTAATTATGCATAAAAATATATCAGAAAAATTTAGTCTGTTATTGCTGAAAATTTTTTCTTGTTGATTCACAGAGTTTTGTTTTTGTTCACATCAATTGTTTTGATACTTGAGTATTCAAATACAAAATATGGCGTATTATAAAAACACAGAACATGCGTTTTCTTAGATTGCGGTTCTATAGCATTAAAAGTTTATGCGAAGTAAAAATAAGAATTAATTTAATTGACTAAAGAAGTTAAACGTAATTTATAAAAATTCTGATATACATTTGTGATATACACCTCACGTTTGGTCTTAAAAAAAGTTTATAAATTCTTACATTATTTCTATCTTTTTCTAGTATATTATGTAACTGAGATTTTTGCTAAGAAACTTCATCAGAAATAATTGGTGTAAATATACTGAAAATGCGACTAAACATTTTCGGATTTTTAAAGTATTAAACAAAATTCCTTCGGCATTAAACATCGATATTTTTACTGAGCCCCTTAAAAATTAAAATGAGTTGAGCATTTTACGTTTTTATATCACAAGCCGCTTGCAGTCCTTTCATTGTCATTTTCGTCATTCTAACGCTTTTTACCCTTTGTAACACTTGTAACTGCCTTTGTAAATTATTCATTACGTTGAGTATAGCTGGTCTTAGAACATTGGGGGCTCGGTACCAAATAATTAACGAGGCCCTTTTTATGAAAAGCATACTAGAAGCATAAAACCTTGGTGCACAGCATCCACTTGTCATCTATTGAAGCTTGTTTTTTGTGTTCTTTTAAAAAAACAAAAATTAGTTCTAAATACAAAGGCTTTATTGTTGTAAAAATTATACATTGAAACAAATTTTTTAATCAAAACAAAACTTTCTATTGTTTTAGAAATTTGTCAATCAAAGAAATAAATTTCAATAGCCAGCAACCCCAAAACGGATAAACAATCTCGATGTTCGAACGCAAATATGTTTTAATTAGCTTCAATTTTGACAAGCTGCGTTCTGCAATAGGGTGCATAGAAAAAATTACTTTTTTTGAATTTGATATTCTAATAGAGCGGAAAAATTGCATAATGCTATAATTATTAACTTATTTTTAACTTTATATAAGTTGAAAATAACAAATTCTTTGCATTTACTAGAGTTATAATAGATTTTAAACATTACACAATTATTAAGTTAGAAATAGTTACAATTTTTAAGAAAATATTTTAAAGTCTTCAGTTGCCGCTAGAGGGTTGAGTTTTTAAGAAAAAAAACTGTTTCATGAGAAAAAAACTGTTTCTGTCTCAAACTGATTCATTAGGACCTGTCTCAAACTGATTCATCAGGATCTGTCTCAAACTGATTCATTAGGATCTGTCTCAAACTTACTTTTTGTGTTGAATAAAGGCATTATTTTTCGCAATGCAAGTCTTGCACGAATGAAGCCGTTTCTACTAACCAAACCGCAAACTTGATCTGAAGCTTCGGTTACATTTCATAGCATTTTCCATGCCATACTCCTTGAGTATGGTATGGAAAATGCTGCACATCTGGAAGATAAACATTTTGTTAACATTTCAACTAGATTTGGTTAACATTTCAATTAGATATTTTCATATGAAAGTGAGTGATAATCGGAGGTTCATTTAGTTTACGTTTTTTCCAATCAATTAGGTCTATTTAGTCTTTTGCTTCAAATTCGATTTCTGGTTTAGAGAATCATTTTCCTTTCTATTAAAACTTTAATTGTACATTATGGACTGAAGAGCTTGTTTGCCAGAAACTCATGAAACAGTTTTTTTCCGTAAAAACTCAGTCCTCTATCGGCAACTTAAGATCTTAAAATATTTTCTTAAAACTTGTAACCATTTCTAACTTAGCCATTGTGAAATGTTCAAACTCTATCACAACTTTAGCATATGCATAGAATTTGTTATTTTTAATTTGTAAAAAAGGTCAGAAAACATGTGTTTTTGTAAGTAAAATAAAACCCTAGCGCGAACTGAAGACATAAAAAATATATAAAAAAATTTGGTACAATCACTTTTTATAGCATTATGCAACTTTTCCGCTCTATTACAATTTGAAATTCAAAAAAAGTTGTTCTCCGATACACCCAAATCTGCAATAGTCAAGGATACTGGAGATGTTAGTATTATTTTAGGAGCAACAGAGATATTTGAATAGATTTCAGTCAAACTACTTCACACAATGAACGTTAACACATCAAATAAAGATCTGATACCTTCTTTTAAAGACAGATGTTTCGCAGCTCACTGACTAATTCTGTTTCATTTTTGTATTCAGTCGCAACTTTTACTTTAAGAACATTTTTAATTATCTACGTTTTACTTTTATTTGAATAAACTTTTTGATGGGTAACTTTTTATTGTACTAGAGTAAAATTTAACTCAAGTAACATGCTCCAATAGATATGGTCTGTTCCACACCGACCGTTTCTATATTTATTCCTTATAATACTTTATAGAAAGCGTTAAAAAAAAGCAATACATATATATATACACACACACACATATATATATAAATATATATATATATATATATATATATATATATATATATATATATATATATATATATATATATATATATATATATATATATATATATATATATATATATATATATGTATATATATATATATGTATATATATATATGTATATATATATATATATATATATATATATATATATATATATATATATATATATATATATATATATATATATATATATATATATATATATATATATATACGGTTAGAACGGATCCTTAAAATGCCTACCTACCTGTCCCAAGAACGCCACTTATATGGAAAGTTAGCGTACATATCAAGGTACCCTGTGATGCAAATTTTGAAATCATTTAATTTTGTCCGCGGAAAATAATATAATTTGAATGTTCAAATTAAGTCAAATTTTGACTTCATAGTGCGCGAATAAAAACACTTGTAGAATTAAACCACTCAATATAATTTGATATAAAATGGTGCAAATGTAGCCAATAGTCACACATAAACTCTGGACAAAATTTCAGCTTGATTGGATGACTGGTGTAGGATTTATTGCAGTTTTAGTCGAAGTTTTGTCAGTTTTTTGCTACTTATACCTCAAAGCGTTACCGTTTACTTAGAAATTCGGTCACTATTTTTAAAATAACGGTTACATGAGTGTTCTACTATGTAATACCAAGAATTTTTGTTATAATTATTTTATCGGTACATGTACAGTTTATATTTTATAGACCAAAATAGTGATTTGCGACTTAAAGTGTGATTTGAATTGGCTTATACCAATTGCGTTGACTCGGCCTTCAAAGTGGAGGGGGTCAATCCCTCAATTTCTAAAATAAAATCCATATTTTCCAAAATAGTTGCCTATATTTCTAAAACAAAACTGAAAAAAAAAGTGGGTAGGCCATGGCTGCCTTGACAGCCATGTATGCATATCGTGAATATTCCAACATTTCCTAAGGTATAATCTACGGCCAGAATGCAAAAAAATTCTAAAAAAATGTTTAAGAAGGATTTCTAGGGATACCTACATAGAAAATAAAAATACTTATTTACCTGAAAACAGAACAACAGTGAAAAAACCAAATATTTTTTATATTGACAAAGATAATTGACTTAAAAAATTTAGATAAGTTAACTAAGATATCTGACCAATAATAAGTTTGGAGGGCCAGTCGGATGAAAATTACTCTAACTGAATAACTAATTAGGTTGAAGGGTTGTTTTGAAATAAAACAACCCGTGTGACAAGTATCATTAGTTTAATAAGTGTGACAATTATCAATAATGTAATTTCCTTACAAGTAAAAAGTTTAAACAATTGTTTACTGGTAAGGTAAGAACTATTCAATAATTACAGTTGTTCAAAGCTGCAAGAAAAACATGCTCTCATAGAGCAAACTACTATTAAGAAAAAACCAAAGATGCGTTGCAGCAAATGCCTCAGCCCTTTAGGAAAAGAGCTGAGGCATTGGTGGTTTGTCCCATCAATGCTCTGAAATAATTTTAAGGGAAAACATTTAATCTTTAGTAGCAAAAGATTCAAAATCATTCAAACAAATTGCATCTCGAGTTATTTCCAAATAAAGAATTATCTCTGGAAAGAACTATTCTACTGGCGAAAAGAATCCGGCGGGCCTCCACTTACAGTTACCCCTGGTAAATATTTATACTTAAATAATTTTAACATATATAGTGAAATGAAGTCTTAAATATTAAGAAATATTACTAGATAGATTTCAAGAAGTATATTTTTGTCAAGTTTCTAATTTCTTTAAAAATGAATAATTTGAAAGTTTTACACAAACTTACTAAACAAAGTTTATTGTAATTATAAAATATGCATGTTTTGGTTTTAGGTCGAAGTAGTGCGCAGACACCATCAAGTGCTCCAAAATTGACTACTGTAGCCCTTGTAAATGTGCAATTAAATACGGGCCTGTCAAACAATGGATTAAAGAAACTTGATTGAACTGTAAACAAAACATCAAGCAGCAAAATGGTAGAGCGAAATTATTACATGAATTTTCTAAGATTAGGTCAACAATTGAGCGATTTCTTCACCTGCAGCGACTTAAAAATCACAGACGAAAAAACAGATTCTTGAACAGTTCATGTTTGTTACTCACTGCATTGATTTATCAAGTCTTATGAATCATGTTATTCAGTCCCGCAAAATTTCTTGTGGCTATTCTCAAGTTTTGCCTAAGCATTGTTGATACTGAGTTAAGGGATGAAACCAGCTCACCGCACCAACAACAACCTCTCACTCAAAGGACTGGTAAAGACACTGGAGTCAAGAGACAAAATATTGTTGGGATTTCAGAAGATTTGCCAGAAACACACTCCAATATTGAACAAATCTGGTCACTGGTTAATGCAAATGGAGTTAAACTAATTTTGGCTTGTGATATGATAGTTGCAAATATAATTTGTGGTCTTCAAACTCATTCAAGTACGCACCCTTGCACCTGGTGTGACGTCAAATCCAATTGTCTTGCCAAATCTTTCAAAATCAAAACTTGCTAACACTGGGCTCAATAAACTTAAACCTTGAGTATTTTCAGCAATCTTTTTAAGCCTTGAGTATTTTCAGCAATTTCGAATGACATTACCAAACAGCTTTGCTAATGCAAAGCTGTTTGGTAATGTCATTCGAAAGCCAATCATCTGCTGGCCTGTCAATTGAATTGCAATTCCTAAAAGGAGATGCAATGATAGAACTGCATCTCCTCTTAGGAATTGTCAACCATCTTTTCAAGATCCTTAAAACTGCTCGGATAGAAGCTGTTAAGTGGCCAGCCGCCCTCCACATTCAACTGAGCCTGTATCACGGGGGCCAGTTTGAGGGAAATGAATGCAGGAAGCTTCTTAAAAATGTGGATATGCTGCAG